GGAGAACCCAGGTTTGGGTTCTCTCAAAAATTAGAGAGAGAGAGAGAGAAAAAAAAAAAAAGAAGAAAGTAGAAACACAATGAGAGTGAAATGGAGATTAACGGAGTGTGAAAGTTAATGAAAAAAAGAGTGTGGTACAAATGTGTGTATGCCAATTATAATTCAATAATTTATTGATAAAATTTTATATTTATTTTTAATTAAATATTATTTAAATAAATTTTTTATTTAATATAAGTTCTAATTATCTTTTAAAATAAGAGTAAAATAAAAACAACTACATTAAATGAGATTTTAAAGAAATATAAATAATTAAATTTGAACGTTTTAAATAAAAAATTAAGTATATTAAAATTTAACTAATAGAATAACAAATTATTTTCACTCCTAAACTTAACTCTTACTTGATAACTTAAAATTTTAAATTTAACCATCTTTTTAACATTTAGTTTAAAATCTCATTTCTTTTCACCTAAATATATATCAAAAAATTATCTTATAAATTGTCTTATAATGGAATGTAAGATTAGAACTGTTAAAGGGGGAGAATACCTATATTGGATCTTCTCTGGTCCCAATCTTACAAGGTAGACGGTAAGACAGGACATCCTCTATATATATAACAAAAATAAAAGTACTAATCCTCCTTTTGGTCAGCTTTCTGTTACATTGAAGAGATTGACAAGAGTAACTCCTACTGCCAATCAAGTACTGAGTACCCATGCGCCCCCGGCAAGTCCTACTATGGCCGAGGTCCACTCCAGCTAACCTGGAACGTGAACTACGGAGCAGCCGGAAAGGCTCTGGGGCTGGATTTGTTGAACAAACCTGAAACTGTGTCCACTGACCCTGTTGTGTCATTTAAGACTGCATTATGGTACTGGATGACTGTGGTACGTCCTGTGGTGAAGCAAGGGTTCGGTGCAACGACTCGTGCTATCAATGGTGGGGAATGTGATGGAAAACGACCTGATGTGGTTCAGGCTAGGGCTAACCTCTACACCAGCTACTGTTCCCAGCTTGGTGTTTCTCCTGGAACCAATCTCCTATGTTAGGCTACCACGTATCTATGTGTCAGAAAATAGAAATACTATTCCTGAAATAATGTTAGAGAGGCTTGTTGCGAGGCCTGTGTTTTATATATATATAAAAAATAAAATAAAATATTATATAATGTAAATAATAAATATATTATTAAAAAATAACTTAATATATATGCACGTGGGTACAATTTTTTTTTTTTTTTGAAAAGCTAATATAGATTTTTATTAACGAGTACAATGAGTTCTCAAATTCATGAACCGTCAATACTGTTAATGTTAACTCAAAATAATTTTGAAACTTTTACTATTCGACATCTACTAGGATCACTACACAAGTCCGCATAAGAGTATGGCCAGCCTTCAATTTTGCTCTTGATCCAACAAAAGGAGTTGTATTGTATCATGTGGGTACAATTTTAATGCTTTGAAACATGAAGCAATGTCAAAATAAGGAATTAAAGAGAAAAGATAAAGATGGAAAAAGAGTGGTTGAAAATTGTTTGGTAATTGCTCTATCTGAAAGTTCAGATTTGAATTTCAGATGAAAAAACCATCTCAAACGGTAAAATATTTAAAAATGTTATTCGATATAAACACCAAATACTGAAAGGCATAATCCTTCGAAGAGTTGTATCTGTTATATTATGATGTAAAAGACAACTATTAGGGTTTGTATGAAATAATAATAGGCCTATGAATAGAATAACTTTTTTTTTTAAAACATTTAATTTCTTTGTTTTCTTCCTTGATTTTCTGCATTTTATTTTCAAGTTTTAGTATACTGGTTGTGTGATTGAAATTCATTTTAGTGGGTATTGTATTTTAGGGATAACGTTTTCCATAGAGAGGTGAAAACTATTATTGTCAAAAAAGGTTCATAAAATTGCTTTGGCCACAACAATTGCATTTACAACTCTTTACATTCAACAATCTAAAATAAAACGAGATGTTTAATTATGAAAAACATATTTAAGATTTCTAATAAAATGTTTCATTGATAAAAAAGAATAGTGTTTCATTTTAATACACGTCATGGAATCAATTTTTCGGTTAATTTTGAATTAATCTAACAAAAATAATATGTATTATTTTATTTATAATTGATGATAAATTATATAATATAATATATAATATAATAAAATTTATGATTTAGCCAGTGTTTCAAATCCCTTCTCTTCCGTTCTAAGTTTAAATTTGTAACCTGCAATTGCACAAGAAAATAATATGAATTGAACTTGATTCTTTTTTCTTTCTTTTTTTTTCTCAAAATCTCTCAAAATGAGCTTAAACCAAGGCTTCATCAACTACCCAAAAAAAAAAAAATGAAGAAGAAAAAGGAAGCGGGAATGCATTCTAGGAAAAAATATTGCATTGGATTCTAAAGCTCAGACCCTACGGCCCAATCGAACCATAAACAGCTATTTTATTACATCCTTCCCGCAATGGGCCACTGGGTCCAGAAAACATGTTCAAGTAATGATATATTGACCGAATTTGCGGAGTCGAATAGGAGGTCGAATGAGGTGGCAAGCCCAGGTGTTCAGCTGACATGTTTTCTTTCCGGAGTAAAATTAAATTAAATGGTCAAAATGTCGTTAATTCCAGCTGCACGCTGCTGTTTTTCAATTTCCGTTAGCTTTCCCATTTCTTTCTACAAAACCTCATCCAACTGAATCAAGATGAAAACTAGCTTCCTCCCATGGCATAGAAAATTAGAAGGACGAAGACCAGAACTCCTTTCCTTCTCTACATCCGATACTGTTGATGGGTCTCAAGTAATCAACTCCAGGCGTGTTCATTTTTGTATTCCCAGTTTTATGTGTTGAACATTCAACTTATAAAATAATAATATTCAATAAATTTAGTAAAATTACCCTAAATTCACTTTTGATTAAATGTTAATTTTGATCTCTCAACTTAAGGTTTTATAAAATTTTCATCGTATAACTTTTTTTTTTGCATTTTTTTAGTTTTTTAATTATAAATTTGTATTTTTTTAGTCTTTCATCAGTTAATTTATTAAATTTATTAATTGCACAAACTTTCCTTTTCAGGTTTTACATGAGAAATTCAAAATAACGTATGATGAAATTACAAATGAACTCTGTCCTATATTAAGTGCATAACAGCTTTATAGGATATGCACCCATTATAGAGATGATGACAGCAACACTCTAAGTGTTTCTCCAGATGTTATTTCCAGAATGAAAGCTTTATTGACAGATGACTCCAATGTTGATGATAGCAACTCCTTTTTGTTGGAAGAAGATTTAAGGATTTTGCAGTAGCAAAAGCTCCAGCAGAACTGCTGCACAATCAGCACTTCCCTTTCTTGCAAGAACAAGGCCATGCCTCTGCTTAACTCTTTGCGAAGCATATCAAGACTGGACAGAAGTTGAAAAAGTAGAGGCTAATAATTTTGGGACGATGAGAGAGACAGTAAGAGAGAGAGGCAGTGAGAGAGGTTGGGCTCCGGACAGCAGACGCAGATCACGGACCAGATGGACAGCACTGGGCAGGGAGTTCTCCAGATCAAGAGGGAGAAGCAGGCAAAGGCGATCGGCAGCAGCTTGGCAGAGGGACCAAAACATGTATCAGAATCATAGTACTTACAAGGAAGGGGGGTATGACAGAGGGATATACAAACAGGCCACTGCATTCTTCTTCACAAATTTCCCAAAGGAGTGGAATTATGAAGATATGTGGAAAACTTTTGGGAAGTATGGAAGGATTTTCGCAATCTACAGTCCGGAAAGAAGGAGTAGGAATGGTGGAAGGTTTGGGTTTGTTAGGTTCCTGGATGTGAAGAATAGCAAGGACTTGGAAAGGCAACTTGACCAGATTCGGGTTGAAGGAAGAAAGATATGGGTGAATTTAGCAAAATACCCAGAGGAAGAAAGACCAAGACAAAAGCACCAAGTGGGGTTGAACACAGCTACTATTGACCAGGAGAGAACGTTTGCAGATGTAGTAAAAGGAAAACAGGGGGTCAATATGGGGAACACCAGGGTTGAACCGAAGGAAAGGATAGAGTTGAATGCCCTGGGTAAGGACAAAAGCAGAATGAGGAATGGACGGGAAGATCAGAGACAGGTGTGGAAGATAAAAAACAGGGAGGAGGAGTGGAATGGTATTGAGTACAAGGTACAGGAAGGGGATTATGAATGGTTACAAGGGTGTTATGTGGGGACTGCACATTCAGTGCAAATAGTCCCAAATCTGCAAGAAAAATTTTTCATGGAGGGGTTTTTTTCCTGTCGACTACGAGCCATGGGGGGCAAACTCGTCCTCATGGATTGTGTAGACAAGGAAGAACTTAAAGACTTAGTGCAGAACGGTGCAGATTGGTTGAGCCAATGGTTTTCTGAGGTAAGACCATGGACGCCAGCCATAGTGGCAAAGGAAAGGTTCGTTTGGTTGAGATGTCAGGGGGTTCCGCTGCATGCTTGGGGTCCTAGTTTTTTTTTTTTAATTCCATGGCATCTGTATGGGGGACGTTTATATGTCTTGATGATAACACAAGCAAGAAGAGAAGGTTTGATATAGCTAGATTCCTCATCTCCACAGAGTGTATGGATCCAATATCAGTTCAAAAAGCAGTTAAAGTCAATGGAGATCTATATACTTTGAAATTTATAGAAGAAGAATTAACAAACATCTTGTTCTCCTTAAGACAAGATTTTATGCCAAATTTCCTGAGCGAATCAGAGCATGAAGACTCATGGTCACTTAGTAGTAGTGATTATGGGAATAACCAGCAGGATGTAGAGGAGGACAAAACGCAGAAGCAGAGTGAGCTGATTAACAGTGAAGAAGACGACGGACGGAAGTCACGCCGGTGCAGAAGGGAAGCCAAAGGAGGCGCCATCCTTGTAGATAGTGAGGTCGAGCTGGCTTCTGACAAACGCAGCTTCTCTGCAGGTGGAATTAATGAAGGGTATGGAAACTCCCAATCTTTACTCAAAGATGTAGAAACCGTGGAAGGAGTGGCAGACAGCATTGATGATGGAGTAAAAACGGATGGGACAGTAGATAGCAGAAAGGATGGACTGCATGGGGGTGGTTTGAATTCAAAAATTGACAGCCAAATAATAGAAAGTGAAGAAGCAGACAAGGAGTATGTGGGCCAGGGAGCCGAGCACAGCAATTGGAGGACGGGCCTTTGTCTCAAACGGCCCAATGGCAAAGGAGTAGCACGGGCTTGTGAGGAGAAATCAGCCAACAGCTGGGTTGGGGCAGAGCCAAGGGAAGAGAATGGGCCGAGAGAAGAAGTGATGCCGGGGAAAAAACAAAAGGAAGATCTAAAGAGCAAAGCCGAAAACAGCAACACATTCTGGGAAGGGTTTGAAAGTGAAGAAGGTAGCGAGAAAGAATGGATGGGAAGAACGACTCAAAGGGACAAAAAGAGAAGAAGAAAAAGGGCCAAATCATGTAGTCTTGTATACCAGAAAACAACAAAGTTGGGGCAATTTCACCAAAAGAAAAGAGGAAGAGGCAGATCCAACTCTCGGGAAACCAAGGGAGAGGTAATCCCAGAATTCTTACCAGGCACAAGTAACTCAGTTGCGGGTGGATCAATTGGAGACAGCGGCATAGAAAATTGTAATAGACTATTGAAGACACAACCAAGCCGAAAAATTGCAGAAGATCTGTGGGACTTTGCTAAACAATTGGGGGTGATAGCCGAGAATGAGGAAGTGATGATCAAGAATTTGGAAGAAATGGAGAACAGAGACAGAAAAGCCAAGGCAGCAAGTTTGGATAAGAAGGTATGTGGGGACATTCAATGAATATTTTATCTTACAATATTAGAGGGTTGGGAGGTTGTGGAAAGAGGAGACAGATTAAAGAGTTAGTGAGGAAGGAAAAAATAGATTTTTTAGCAATACAGGAAACCAAAATGGGAATGATTGATAAAAGAGCTTGCAGATCAGTGTGGGGAATAGATGAGGTTGATTGGGTAGCAAAAAATGCAGAAGGTATGTCAGGTGGAATTCTTTGTGTATGGAACCCTAGCACCCTTAAAAAAAAGAGAGTATTGGAAGGGGAGTACTGTATAGGTATTGAAGGGGTGTGGGGAACAGAGGAGGTCCTTGTGTGCATAATTAATGTGTATTCACCTTGCCAAATAATGGGTAAAAGAGCACTGTGGATAGAATTGAAGAATATGGTGACAGGAGGGGGGAGTATGTGGTGTGTTGTGGGGGATTTTAATGCTATTCGAAGAATTGAGGAAAGGTGGGGATGTAGAAGTGTGTCAACTGAAATGAGAGAGTTTGATTATTTTATTCAAGAATCCGAGTTGATTGACCTTCCCCTTGCTGGTAGAAAGTTCACCTGGTACCACTCAAATGGGAATCAAATGAGTAGAATTGATAGATTCTTATTGTCTGAAGGATGGCTTTCAAAATGGTGCGACACTAAACAGTGGGGATTAACCAGAACAGTGTCAGACCATTGTCCAATAATGCTGAAAGTCAATAAAATGAATTGGGGACCTAAGCCATTCAAGTTCTTTGATGCTTGGCTCGATGACCAAGGGTGTAGAGAGTTGATTTCGGAGGTCTGGAACAATGAAAAAACCTAAGGGTGGGCAGGATTCAAGCTAAAAGAAAAGCTGAAGGCAACTAAAAATGCCCTACGGGAATGGAGTAGAAATTTTGTTGAACAAGTGGATGCCAAAATAAATTCTTCTAGAGTGGTGATTGAACAACTTGATTTGAAGGGTGAACAAGGCCAGCTCACGGAAGAGGAAATTAACAAAAGAAAGGAGGCACTCCTAGATATATGGAAAAATATGAATACCAAAGAGAGAATGGCACAACAGAAGTCAAGGAAAACCTGGTTGGTTAATGGGGATGCAAACACCAAGTTCTTCCACAATTGTGTCAAAGGCAAATGGAGAATCACAGAAATGAACAGCATACAAATCAAAGATTCTCAACTGGTTGAGCCTACCATAATGAAAGAGGAAATTGCAAATTTCTTTGAAAACATGTTCAAAGAGGAGAACTACGAAAGACCAAAACTGGAGGGCATCAGTTTTCAGCAGATAACAGAGCAAGAAAATGCATCACTTGTAGCTCCATTTTCAGAAGATGAGATCAAAGCAGCAGTATGGGATTGTGAATGCTCAAAAGCACCGGGTCCAGACGGGTTTAATTTCAGATTTGTTAGAAGGGAGTGGGAGACAATCAAAGGAGATGTGATAGGATTCATAAAGGAGTTTCAAGAAAAAGGAAAACTGGTCAGAGGGTTGAATTCCTCATTTATTGTCTTGGTGCCAAAAGTGAATAATCCACAGAGGATAGAAGAATACAGGCCCATATCCCTTATTGGTGCTGTGTACAAGATCCTTGCCAAACTATTAGCCAATCGACTCAAAAAAGTACTCGATCAAGTGATTGGCAAGCAGCAAATGGCATTCATAAGTGGAAGACAACTAATGGATGGGGTTGTGATTGCAAATGAGGTAGTAGACGAAGCGAAGAAGAAGAAAAGGAAGAGCTTCCTATTTAAGATTGATTTCGAGAAGGCTTATGACAAAGCGTGTTGGAAGTTCCTTGATTGTATGATGCAGAAGCTGGGGTTCTACGCTACTTGGAGAAGGTGGATCATGGAGTGCTTGAGAACTAGCCAAGTTTCAGTGTTGGTGAATGGCAGCCCTACTAGACAGTTCAATATCAGCCAGGGCCTTAGACAGGGAGATCCCTTATCTCCTTTTCTGTTCTTGATTGTTGCAGAGGGATTAAATGGGATGATTACCACGGCTGTGCAGAAGGGACTACTGGAGGGTGTGGAGGTAGGATCCAAAGGATTCAAGATATCACACCTACAATTTGCAGACGATACAATTCTTTTTGGCTCTGCAACGGAGCAAAATGTCTGGGCAATGAAAGGCATTATGAGATCATTTGAGCTTGTTTCGAGCTTGAAGGTTAATTTCAACAAAAGTCAACTCCTGGGTATTGCGGTGAATGAGGAGTGGCTTGACAAAATGGCATGGGTGTTATGCTGCAGAAAAGGTAATTTCCCATTTAAATACCTTGGAGTCCCTATTGGTGGAAGTCATAGAAAGCTGCATTTTTGGAAGCCATTGGTGGATGTTTTCTCAAAAAAACT